GCTGCACACCAGCTGTCCACTCTTATCTGCACACACACTTTCGGGGGATATTAAGAGGTGGAGCTGTGTGCATAGAATTGAAAAAAAGGACTTCTGACCCTCACTGGGAAGGGAAGGGGGGTGGGGGGCGGTGGGGAAGGGAGCAATTGTGAGCCCTCTTTTGTCTGTGTGCAACTGTATTAAGAAGAATGCTCATCCCCGGCGATAAGTAAAGTGCCCAGTTACCGGGGTGAGATCAATACTCCTGCAGACTCCAGAGATTAACTCAGCTGCACTTAACTGCCCCGACCTAGTAAAAGGGGCTCACTCCCCACCTGCAAGGTGCTCTCAGAATTGGACTTCTTTTGTCTGTGTGCAACTGTATTAAGAAGAATGCTCATCCCCGGCGATAAGTAAAGTGCCCAGTTACCGGGGTGAGATCAATACTCCTGCAGACTCCAGAGATTAACTCAGCTGCACTTAACTGCCCCGACCTAGTAAAAGGGGCTCACTCCCCACCTGCAAGGTGCTCTCAGAATTGGACTTGTGAAAGGGAAGTGTTCAGCCCCAGTGCTGATGTCTCTCCCCGCTTGGTTTGTTTACAGCAATTTGTTTGCCCGGATGCGATGAGCAACATGGCTTTTGCGACAAACCTGGGGAATGCAAGTAAGTTTTCCACTGCCTTCCCACTCCCTTCTTTGTCTTTAACATTGATGCCATCGGTCATTTAAAGGGCCCGTTTAAATGCCTTTCTTCATATTAGATAGTAACTTGAGAAATCCAGGTGATGCCAGATCAAACTATTAATCTACAAGTCAAACATTAGTGCCATTAATATTAACTTGATGAGTTTACAATGCTGTGTGTAAGGTTTAGCTGTTTGACATTAGAGTAAACAAATTAACTACCTGGAACCATGGCTCTGTCTAAGGAAGTGGAAGAAATAGCTGGGACTGATGAAAGCTGATTCTGCGGTTGGACTTCATGACTTTCTCACATGAAGGATCACTGAGGGCTTTTCGGAAACTTGATCCTTGGCATCAGTGTGTTTGCAGAGTTTGTGATAGAGTTTCCAACTGTGAGAAGTCTAAATCTGATGAGACTTTGTTGTTGGGTTTTTTTTTCAGATGCAGAGTGGGTTGGCAGGGGCGATACTGTGACGAGTGCATCCGATACCCGGGATGCCTTCATGGTACCTGTCAGCAGCCTTGGCAATGCAACTGCCAGGAAGGCTGGGGTGGCCTTTTCTGCAACCAGGGTAAGTTCTCAGTCCCTGCCTGAGCCTCTTTTTTTTAAAATGCAGAAAGCAAGCAGCTATATCCAGCTCACCCACCCTGTGCCAGCCTTGCAAAGTAGCAAATATCTACTCTCTTTTTTTAAAAAAAATAATCTTTTACAGACTTGAACTACTGCACCCACCACAAGCCCTGCAAGAACGGTGCCACATGCACCAATACTGGTCAGGGGAGCTACACTTGTTCTTGCCGACCTGGGTACACAGGCTCCAACTGTGAGATTGAAATCAATGAATGTGATGCCAACCCTTGCAAGAATGGTGGAAGCTGCACTGTAAGTTTAAGTTGCTTTTGCCATCTGAAACCCCAAGGAAGGAGTTAATGTCAGTTTTCCTGATTTTCAAAATCCCTTTTTTGATTTCAAAGCAACTTCAGATAAATATTTTGACAATTTCTCATTTCTTTCCCCAAGGATCTTGAGAACAGCTATTCCTGCACCTGCCCCCCAGGCTTCTATGGTAAAAACTGTGAGCTGAGTGCAATGACTTGTGCTGATGGACCATGCTTCAATGGTGGGCGGTGCACCGACAACCCTGATGGGGGATACAGCTGCCGCTGCCCACTGGGCTATTCTGGGTTCAACTGCGAAAAGAAAATAGATTACTGCAGTTCCAGCCCTTGTGCTAATGGTAAGACCAAGCATGCAACAGTGACCTTCTAAAAGGAGACCATCCAGTTACTTTGGCTTCTGGACTGGAGTTCATAATAAGGCCCTATGGACCAGTCATGGTCCATCTCATGTCAATAGTTGAATTGTTGGAGGATCTGTACTTAAAAGGTACTGATGTAGTTTGGGCCACTGCTGCAGATCATATTTTCTCAAAGGGTGACTGTGGCCTGGTCACTTGGCCTGAAGCTTCATGCATAAAAATATGGAGGATTATACTTGCAAGTGTTTTGCAAAGACACTGAGGTCTGTGGATGCAAAACACCATACAAGTGCTAAATATTATGACTTGCAATCTGGTAACAATAATCTTTCTCTTTTGATTAATCTAGTGAAGACTTTCTTTACTGCAGTACTTCTCATTCATTGCCACTCAAACTCTGTAACTCGAGATTGTGGTGTTAACTTGATCTGGACTAGCTTTGTTGTCCAAGCTGAGTGAAACGTTAAAAAGGGAATAGGACAGAGAGTTAAAAATAGGTCTGATTATGTCCCTTTAAAAAACCCTGTACAGTAGATCAGACTTGGCAAAGGTTGAGTTAACCTCTCAAAAAGAAAGCTTCTCTTGGCTGCCCATTGTTGTGATCACCCCAAGAGCAACAGGTGGGAGGCTGTCAGGTCCAGCTGTCCACTACTCAGTGCTCATCCCCCTTGATGTCTTGCAGGAGCTCAGTGTGTTGACCTGGGGAACTCCTACATATGCCAGTGCCAGGCTGGCTTTACTGGGAGACACTGTGATGATAACGTGGACGACTGTGCCTCCTTTCCCTGTGTCAATGGAGGGACCTGCCAGGATGGCATCAATGACTATTCCTGCACCTGTCCCCCGGGATACAACGGGAAGAACTGCAGCACCCCGGTGAGCAGATGTGAACACAACCCCTGCCACAACGGGGCCACCTGCCATGAGAGAAACAACCGCTACGTCTGCGAGTGTGCCCGGGGCTATGGTGGCCTCAATTGCCAGTTTTTGCTCCCCGAGCCCCCTCAGGGGCCGGTCATCGTCGACTTCACTGAGAAGTACACTGATGGCCAGAACGCCCAGTTCCCCTGGATTGCTGTCTGTGCTGGGATTATTCTGGTCCTCATGCTGTTGCTGGGGTGTGCTGCTGTGGTCGTCTGCGTCAGGCTCCGAGTGCAGAAGAGGCACCACCAGCCTGATGCCTGCAGGAGTGAGACTGAGACCATGAACAACCTGGCGAACTGCCAGCGTGAGAAGGACATTTCCATAAGTGTCATTGGTGCCACTCAGATTAAACACACAAATAAGAAAGTAGCCTTTCACAGTGATAACTCCGATAAAAATGGCTACAAAGTCAGATACCCATCAGTGGATTACAATTTGGTGCATGAACTCAAGAACGAGGACTCTGTTAAAGAGGAGCACAGCAAATGTGAAGCCAAGTGTGAAACATATGATTCAGAGGCAGAAGAGAAAAGTGCAGTACAACTAAAGAGGTATCTCTCACAACTGAGCGTATGGGACAGCTTGACTCTGGGGGTGGGGTGTGTGTGTCTCATAGGTAGTGTTAAGCAGCAGCCATCTCACCTGTGTTGTCTCTCTTTGTCTTCAATAGTGATACTTCTGAAAGAAAACGACCAGATTCAGTATATTCCACTTCAAAGGACACAAAGTACCAGTCGGTGTATGTCATATCGGA